TCCATTTCTCAAGTTTTATACTTAGTTTCCAAAAATGGGTTTTATAGAGGTTTAAGAGAATCTATGGATTTTAGCTCGTTTTTAGTGTATTCAAGTTATAAGAAGTATTTTTAACTTTAACCCAACCACGTAGTTGATTTAGTAACTCATTTTCTTAACTTTGATTAGTGAAAGAAGTGGGAGAAAGCTCAAGAGAGAGGGGAAAAGAGAAATTGCCTATTGAGTGATTTGAGGACGTTTCTAGTAATCAAGAAATCAAGGTAACACATTCACAACTTCTTCATACCAATTATGGGACACTAGAAATGCATTATATCTTAAGAGTTGAGTGTGAATCATGTTTAGTAGTTTTCATGGTAGATTCTATGTTTAAGTGTTATAACATGTTTCAAAGCCTTATTTATGACCCCTAAACATCACGTAAAAGACTAATAATGATTGGGAATTAGTTTGAGTGCAAATTTTAAGCCCAAGTAGGGTAATTTCGAATAAAATGATGTAAGAACCCTAACTAGTAGGGATAAGGATCGTAATGATGAGGATAGAAATCGCAACAGAGACAAGACCAAAGAGAAAATCCCTGACCGGGATAGAGACAGGGAACATGGACAGGGTAAGGTGAAAACAACCGATAACCAGAAACTTTTGGATGCAAAACAATTAATTGATATGATTCCAAAGACCAAGGAGGAGCTATTTTCATATGAGATAAACTGGAATGTTTATGACCAGGTAAGCATCTTTTCACATGTCTTTTTTCAAACTGTTATTTTCAAACATTCTGTCCTCTAGTTAGGGCTAACTAGTTAAAATAGTGCATAATGTTAGCTTCAATTGCATTAGGCTTGTTCTTCCTTGGCATATATGGAACTAACATGAATATTGCAGTATCCATATTTCTCTTCTGCATTTGTTTGAAATAATCATCTTTGGGCAGATATCTTTTACCTTATAATTTTAGTTTAAACCCAATTATAAACTTGACACTAATTCTAAGTGGTACTTTGTGCAGCATGCACTGCATGAGAGAATGAGACCCTGGATTTCAAAGAAAATTATGGAGTTCTTGGGAGAAGAAGAGAAAACTCTGGTTGATTACATCGTATCGAGTACTCAGGAACATGTCAAGGCTTCCCAAATGCTGGAGCTACTGCAGTCTATATTAGATGAGGAGGCAGAGATGTTTGTGCTTAAGATGTGGAGGATGCTGATATTTGAAATTAAAAAAATGGAGACTGGTCTGGCTTTGCGTTCGAGATCCTGATCTAACATTGATGCCGTGCTGGCGGTTCATGTGTTGGTTTTAAGAAGTGTAGATGCGATAATTGGCAAAAGGGTTTTCGGCTGCGTCAGAAGGTAATAACAGAGGCGAAATCGAACCCATGAAGTAACCATTGGCAGCTTAGAAGGTTGTCATTGTCGATTTGAAGTGAGGGGGAGTTGGAATTTGTGGCCTGAAGGGGAAGTTATAGGCAATCAGGCGGACGAAACCAAGACAAGGATAGGCATCGATGTTATCCAGAATGTGATTGGTAAAGAGGATTGGATCATGTTTTTGGATCTCAAGGGGGAAATATCCAAGTTTTTTTCTTGTTTTGTCTCCCTAGTGTGTTGGGTATATATGATCCTAGGCCTAACTTTTATGGAGAAGAGGGAACCCAAAAGAATAATGCCCTTTCCTTGTCCTTGATACATGAGATATTTTTGTCTGTTTTGTTCATATAATCTACATAAAAAGTTGGAATTATTATTGATCTTCTTGTTCTCGTTATGGGATAATTATCATCATGTTTCTCATAACACCCCCATTAGAAAATGGTCGTTCAACTTCATCAAATGACATTGTTCTTGTTATTTTTTTACTGTCTCTTGGTGACAATTGCATAATAAAACCATATGAAAAGGTCACATTCATGAAACAATGAACTTTTAAGAGTTAACATACTATTGAAATAGCCCTAAGGGATCTCAATAAGAGAATCTAGGAATCCATTCATTAATTTCGATTCAATCATGAAGATTCTAAAAGAAAGACAAGGGCAATTCAACTAATCTGAGGGAATTTTGGGGGCCTTAGGGATAATAATATGAAAAGCTTCAGCTTCCTCTTTTGACACCAAGAGAACTAAGTACAAGTTGAATATGGTGGTTCGCTCATTTGAGTTATTGAAACAGAGACCTGTCATATATAAATCTCCACTCTATAGATATAGGGCCACAACTAGATGAACATATGATCTTTGGGTTCTTACATCATTTTATTTGGAATGATTAGTAAATCTTTGGGTTAGCAAATCTATATTAAGCGGTAATGGATTATAAGATGATTTTCCATGTTTATATTAAGAGGATTAAACCCTAACGAAGCAAAAAACAGAGACAAGAACGAAAATAAAGGAACCTGTGATGGTGCCGTGAACGACGGTGCCGTTCTTGAGCTCAATCGACACCATTTCATTGTTCAACTTCACCAAAAAACCTGCACATTGTTTTTCAAACCGAAGCCATTTTAAAGAGATCTAACAAGTTGTTTTTAATTTTTTACACGTAATTGTTACACACGAAGGGAAGATAAATTTCGCTAATCAAGAGTTGAGATTAAAGAGGGAAAGGGAAACTGACCTGACGAGCTTCATGTTGAGAAGAGAGAACAGAACTAGAGCATGAGGCAAAAGGCGAGAAACCTAAATCAAAGGAAGCGGGAAAGAGAGGGAGAGAAACGAACTCTGTTTGCTGCTTCTACCAGGCCTCGAAGTCGGAGGTGATTTAGGGCTCAATAATATTGCAGCGTTTATACATAAAACGCCACTAGATACAATAATATTACGGCGTTTATCAAAAAACGCCGTACCATTAATACTCAATAGCGGCGTTTGTACAAAAACGTCGCTAAATGACTACTCTTTTACGGCGTTTGTTGATAAAACACCACAATAAATAACTCTATACCGGCGTTTGTTCCAAAAACGCCGCTAAATTACTACTCTATTGCGGCATTTTTTGAAGAAACGCCGCTATATTATAATTTGGCGGCGTTTGGATTATAAACGCCGCTATATTTCAATATCTTGTGGCGTTTACTCTCCAAATGCCGCTAAAAACGCCGCTACAGAACACTTTTGTTGTAGTGATTATTGCGGCGTTTGTTAAAAAACGCCACTATTGATTAAAACTATTGCGGCGTTTTTGTAAAAACGCCACTATTGATTAACACTATTGCGGCGTTTGTATAAAAACGCCACTATTTATTATAACTATTGCGACGTTTTAAGAATAAATGCCACTATATGTGTAATCTATTGCGGCGTTTGTGGTATAAATGCCGCTAATTTACAGATCTATTGCGGCGTTTGTTGTAAAAACGCCGCTATATGTCAACTCTATTGCAGCGTTTTTACAACAAACGCCGCTAAAGTATCAATTTGTGGCGCTACGATTGTAAACGTTGCTATATGTTTAAATTTTATTGCGTTTTCTCTCCAAACGCCGCTAAAAACGCCGCTACATATCAATTTTGCTGTAGTGACCCTTCTTTCTTAAAGGTAGTGGTTTGTTAATTTTAGGGTTGTTGTGTTTTTTTTTTGTCTGTTTATTTGGTTTTTTTTTTTTGCGCTCAAGTTCTCATCTTCATATTGTTGTCTTTGCTTATGAATCATTGTTATATAAAGAGGATTTTAGAGGGTTTATATAAGGAAGGTTAAGGGGGCGTGAAGGTGATGGAAAGAGGCCGAAGATCTCGAGATTTGAAGATGTTTAAAGTTTGTTTCACGAGATAGTGATCTGGTTTAAAGTTAAGACAAGTATGCTTTTGTTAGATCTAGGATTAACATCTAAGCCTAGATAAAAACAGGTGTTTACATGGAAATCTTTTATGAATTTGATTTTTTTTTTTATATTTTGATGATGTGACACTATGAGATTATGTTATGGGTCAATCTAGGATTAACATCTAAGCCTAGATAAAAACAGGTGTTTACATGGAAATCTTTTATGAATTTGATTTTTTTTTATATATTTTGATGATGTGACACTATGAGATTATGTTATGGGTCAAAATATCATAGGATCAAATCATCGACAGATCTATAAATTAAAGAAGCTACAAGTAAATCAGTGTATATCAAGTAAAAACACAATGCTTAAATTAAAAAAAGAAAATCAGATTTTATAGATTAAAAGTTATCCTATTTTTATATCAGAAAAAATGTTTTTTTAAAAAAAAAAAATTTACTTCGAAATATAAAGACTAACCAACGTAGCTACAACTTTTTATGAATGTGAGGTAGCCACAATTGGAGTGATAATACTATTGTATGTTGACAAAAAAATATACCCAAGTTCAAGCGCTAATAACCCCGATCCCAAAATTTGTTATGATAAGAGAAAATCATAAGGACTAAATCTTTAATTTCAGTATATTAAGGGGACCAAAATCAAATTTTAACCTATTTAAGTATATTAATTGGGAGTGGGGACTGTTTGCCTTTTTTTATAACTATTTGTTTAAATAACGGGTAAAAGTACATAAATGGTCAATAAACTATGTTAAAATTACCATTTTGATCATTGAAGTTTCAGAAATTTTAACATAGCCATTAAACTTAAAAAACGATCACAAGTTGATCATTAAACTTTCCAAAATGATTATTAAATTATTATAAACTAGTTATTAAATGTATCATACTATTATAAAAGTATTTAAACTTATTAAAATTTATCACTCTTTTATAATATGAACTAACTATTTCATAATATTTCGATAAATTTAATGATTATCTTATAACTTTCGGAACTTTAATGGCTAAAAGATCATTTCATAATAGTTTAAAGACTATCTTGTGTACTTTACTCTTAAATTATTAATCTTGATTTATGGATAACAATTTTGAGCTCTTTATATACCTCTCTTCGTCCATTGCGTCCAAACAAAGATACATTCTTTGCTTCAAACTCTCTCAAGATTTACCCAAAGATTCTTACAGAACACAAAGAATATGGAAATGGAGACAAGTCCACCAGCTGTAGCAAAGAAGCTATGGAACATTGTACGGATAGTGTTCTTCATGTTAAAGACAGGGATATTAAAGAGCAAGATGATGGTCGGTCTCAAGAAAAGCAAATACAATGCCAGCAAAGCCATAAGCAACCTCGTCTTCCACCGCAAAGTTCACGACCATTTGTCTTCCTTGAGCTGTCGGTCCGACGACTCTCTCTCCTTCGTTTCGCCACGAGAGTACGAGTTCAGCTGCAGCAACACCCCGGCTTCCTACCACCACCACAAGCGCAAACACAACCACTACTACAAGTCGAATTACCGATACGAAGACGTTACGACTGTCGCCGCGGTGCAAAAGGTTCTGGAGATGTTGAACAACGAGGCCGCGGCGGAGGAGTCGCCGTCGCCGATGGTTTTGCCGGGGTTTGGACGGAGTCCGTTGGTGAGGCAACTGAGGGTGACGGACTCGCCGTTCCCGTTGAAGGATGACGGTGATAGTCAAGTGGATATGGCGGCGGAGGAGTTCATAAACAAGTTTTACAAAGATCTTAAGCTACAGAAACGGTCTGCCCTTGAATATCCTGCTCATAATAGATGGGGACGATGATGATGATGATGATGATGTTCTTCAAAGAGATAACCATATATATATGTGTATACACACCTTCTATTAGTTCATGTGAGAAATTTTTATCAACAAAGTTTGGTTACTTTTTTGTAATTTAATGATTAGGAAGGACTAAAAATGAAAATTATCCATTACTACTTACAAATAATTACTTTATCAAGTGATCAGGCTTGTTTGTATATAATTATTGAAATTTAATTTATTATTTAATTATTTTAAATTAATTTTTATAAATATTTCTTATGAAATTACATTTAATTAAAAATTTATTCATAAATTTAATATTTAATTTTTTAAATTTATTTAAAAGATTTAATTTCTTATTTTATTATATCAATCAATAATTCGTATATTTTATATTTGATATTAACTTTTTAAGGGTTATTATTTTAACGCAAAAGTTTTTTTTATTAGTTGTTTTAAATTTTTTATATTTATGGTTACGATAAAATGTGGTCATAATTATTTTTCTTTCTTTTCATTTAATTTTAGAATTTAATAATTTATTTTACAAAAAAATATAAATTCATTATATATATATATAAATATATACGCGTGGTGCGTGTGGAAAAAATATATAATTATATGAACATAAATTTGTGCCAAGAAATAACAATAACAATGTACGTGTGTTAATCACAAATTCAATTACTCAATAAATAAATGTTAAAAAATTATATTTAAATACTTAAAAACCCATATATCTAAATAACCTATGGGGTTGTAAAACTCACATTGGGTTTTCAAGTCTTTGAATATAATACTTTAAATATGTATTTATTAAATTATTTAACATAAGATAAATATATGCATGTCGATTAGGGATGGCAATAGGTCGGGTCGGGTCGGGTTTTTGAGCCACCCGATCCGACCCGAGAAGAAAGGGTTTTTCACCCGTGACCCGACCCGACCCGACGAAATTAAGGTTTCACCCGACCCGACCCGACCCGAATATATGACTTAGAAACCCGACCCGACCCGACCCGAAATAATAAAAAAAAATTTATTCAATGAAAACAGTGACTTAATTGAAAAAAATTATATATGGAGGGACATTATTGTAATTATCCCTAAATGTATGGGATAAAATTATATATATTTTTCGGGTCGGGTCGGGTCGGATTTTTTCACCCTAAACCCGGCCCGACCCGACCCGAACAGTACATTTTAAAAAAACCCGACCCGACCCGAAATTTTTTTAAAAAAATCCGACCCGATCAGGTCGGGTCGGGTCGGATCGGAACCTGTCGGATTCGGGTTGAGTTGCCATCCCTAATGTCGATGCTAACGTCTAACTCATGCCCATACTCACGTGTCTTTAATAAGCACCGTACATGCATGTATTCGTGTTTGTTGCTGTCACATAAGAAAAAGACAACTTTATTCTATGTGACAAAAATAGTGTTAAATTGAGAAATAAACTACTATGGAGGATAGAATGAAACATTATTTTTAAATGGGATATATTTAGCTTAGAAATTCATTTTGAATAGTATAATAAAATAAATGTTTGGGTTAACTACATATTTAGTCATCCACTTATTCTTACAGTTTTGTTTTGGTCTTTCAATTATTTTTTAAATCATATTTAACGTTATGTTTTGGTTCAATTTCGGTCTCACACAGTTAAAAATTATCGGTGATATTGACGTGTCAACATAATATAATACCACATTGTCATTGAAAATATAAGAAATAGTCATGTCAATAATTCTGTTTATTTTTTAACGGCAAGTGATCAAAATGGAACCAAAACGTAATATTATGTATAATTTTGAAAAAAATTATTTGAGTGACTAAAATGGAACTGCTAGATAAAATGAGTGATTAAATGTGTTGTTTATCCTATATATTTTTATTAAAAAACTTTGGAAGTATATAAATTATAATTTAAAATGATATTTTGTATTTAAACGATGAAATTATAAAAAAATAGAAAATCATGTTTTAAAAAAGTTATATGAATGTCTTGTCCATTAATAAACCTCAAATGTTTATCAATAGGAAGGTTATCATCTGAGGCAGACTAATATGTGGTTAAAAAATATATGATTATAGGTGACCGATTAAAAGTGCTACCGATAATATTATATGTTTTCACCGAAAATATTATTTGTGTTGGTATAATAATAGTAATAATCGAGAATATTATTTTCGTATGTAAAATGCGTCAAAAAATAATGATTTTAACATAACCAGTTAATTACTATAAATATTATTAACCATAATAACATAACAGGTAGCGTTTATGTAACGTAATAGGTAGCACATTTTTAAAGTTGATGCGGACTTTAGAAATCCGACGATAACAAAATAAGTTAATTACTTGATTTGTTATCAATATTATCAACATATTAGGTAGCGCTTAAAATGTTACTAAAGTCTAAGCTGATAGATCCTTAGAAATCCGACGATAAAAAAATAAATTAATTACTGGAAACATTATAAACCATAATAACATAGCAAGCATCGCTTATTTAATGTAATAGGTAGCATCTTTTTAAAGCTGATGGAGCATTAGAAATCTGACAATAATAAAATAGGTTAATTATTTAATTTGTTATCAATATTATCAACATATTAGATAGAGCCTAAAATAGTATCAAAGTTTAAGCTAATAGGGCATTAGAAATCTGACGATAACAAAATATGTTAATTACTTATTTTGTTATTAGAATTATCAACATATTAAGTAGCGCCTAAAATATTAGCAAAATTTAAGCTGATGGGGCATTCGAAATCTCACGACAACAAAATAAGTTAATTTCTTATTTTATTATAAATAAATATTAATGTATTAAGTTGTGCCCAATAATATTATTTTGAATAAAGAAGTAGGTTACAATTTAGAATATTAAGTAGTGTTTAATGATATCAGTATAATTTAATATATTATGTACCTATGACAATTATTTTTAAAATAAATGTCGATCCTACTATAATCTGATGGTTGATACTTCAACAAATATCAATACTTTTAGAGTAAGTATGTGTACATTATTATTATGGATACATTATTATTAACCTTTAGAGTATCTATATTTTTAGAGTAAGTATCCATACTTTCGAATTTTAAAAAAATATTTCAAACTGTTAAGTTGTATATATATTTACTGTTTACATTACTGTTGAAACAGTGTCCATACTTTTAGAGTAAGTATAGATACATTATTATTAACATTTAGAGTATTTATACTTTTAGAGTAAGTATCCATACTTTCGAATTTTAAAAAAAATATTTCAAACGGTTAAGTTGTATATATTTTATCGTTTACATTATTATTAATCTTTAAACAAATCCGTAACTAGTTTAATGTTATAGATATCGCTTATTTCACGTTATCGGTAGCACCTATTTAATTTAATAGGTATCACCTATTTTATTTTACCGTTTACATTACTAGTAACCATTAAACAAACCGGTAGGTATTTTAACATAATTAGGTAGCGTCTATTTTCTTTTACCATTTACATTATTATTAACCTTTAAATAAACCAGTAGCTATTTTAACGTAATAGTTAACGCTTATTTAACGTAATAAGTAGCTCTTATTTAACATAATAAGTAACACCTATTTTATTTTACCGTTTACATTATTATTAACTTTTAAACAAACATGTAAATATTTTAACGTAATAAGTAGCACCTATTTTATTTTACTGCTTACATTATTAGTAACATTCAAATAAACCGATAGGTAGTTTAATATAATAAGTAGTGCCTATTTTATTTTAACCGATTAAGTTTTAAATATAAGTATCGATACATACAGTATAGGTGTAGATAGTTTTTAGGACAATAGTTGAATATAGCTTATTGCCGAAACATTATCCATACTTTTAGAATAAATATTGATACAGAAACTATGCAATTTATGTTTCAAATTTTTTTAATAGTTTTTTATATTTTCCACCTACAACATTAATTTAATAATTTCATTTACACAAAAAAATACTAGATTATTTATATTTTTTATAAAATATTAATTAGAATTTAAATTTAACAATTTAGTTAAAATAGATAATAATAAATATGTAATATCTATGTTTACTATTTTTAATTTAATAATAATATATATTGTAACATAAAAATAAGTTATTAGACGTTTATAATTTATTAAATTAATATCTTAAAACTCATAAAAAATAATCCTAAATTAATATTTTCTATAATAAAATAAATATAAATACTTATATATAAATATATTGATACCTATCGATAAATAAAATTTACCTGTTATCAAATATTTTAATAATTTTTTATATTTTCCACCTATAATATTATAAATATGTTAACATTTATGATAACATTTTACTAAATTTATTAATTATTTTATTAAATTTTCAATCAGACAAACCCCTCTAAAGAAGTAATCGTTTTTACAGAAAAAAAAGGATCAATTATTAAAAACGCCAAATAAAAAAATTTAAAATTTTGATGCTCGGAGGCAGCTTCTCTTGCTATGAGAATCTTCCCCCACCCAGAAAAAAACTCTCATTGAAGCATTTGAGTTACTTGGATTGATAATAATGGAGAACAATGTTGTTTTACCTCCAACTGTCGAAGCATTAATATCAAGAATATGCAGCGAGCAAAGCCAACTTCCACTTTCCCGCTCAACTAAGCAGGCGTTGGCCCAGAAAGACGAAGAATCATCCATGAAGATCCTCGGAAAAATTCAAATGTCGGGGATTAATACTACCTTTGATCGGTTCTTAATGTTTCTGATCAGGAAAGAATCAAACGATTCTCCTAAAAAACGATCAAACCCTTCTCCGGCGAACTCTCCATTGAAAACTTGCCGTCTTATGATGAACTCTCCTGGTTAGCATCTCTTCATCTCTCGCACTGTGGGTTTATTTTCATTTTAATAGTTCTTTTGACGCTTTTTGTTTTTGAGTTTTTGGTTTTATAAATAATTCAGGGGGAGATAGTGTTAGCATTGGTTCTACTTCGGCACCGGTTACTCCTACTCGAAGTTTTTCAGCAAATGCTAGTAGTGGTGGTGGAGCAGAAGGATGGAGCCCTCAGTTGGTAGCTTTAGGGGAGCTGGAATTCCGTAAAGCTTTTCTAATTTTGAGCTATATTGGCCAGTAAGTTTTCGTTCTATTGATATGCCTATCTTTTGCTGCTTTTAGTAATATGTTTTGTTTTTCTTTCTTTTTACCTCAGAAATAGGCTAGAAGAAGTAATCCCTGCTGATAAAATTCGAAGTTATAAGAATTTGGCAATGGATGAGTTTGAGAGAAAGGTCTGGGATTCTCTGGGTAAACATTATGCTGCAATTGATCGTGTTAAGGTAAACATAAGCCTTAGACTCTAGCTATATCGTGTTTCTAAAGTTTGTAATTGTATTCGACCCCTTTATGTTTGGGCCATTACCCTCCCCTGCTTTTGATTACTTTCTCTTTCTCTGTCCTTTTTTTCTTACCATTTTATTCCTTTGTCTTGCAGTCACTCGAGTGGGAATCTGGCAAGACCTATGAGTATCATTGTCATGTAAATGAAAATGGAAGCTATAGGTTCAAGGTAAATTGGGAGTTGCAGTTTCAATGTTTTTGTATTTCCTTGATTTTGTGCATGCATGTATGTTATCTTACCTTCATTTAACAAAAGATTTGAGGTTAAATTTATAAACGCTTGTAGAAACATGTTTTGGATGGTGTGGTGTGGACAGCTTTAAGAGGTTACTGATCAGTTCAATATGATTTCTCTTTTCTATCTCATGCATGTTCAGATTGAATCTTGATCTCATAAAATGCTTGTGATTAGTATTTATCAATAGGCTTAAGTCCCCCTGATCCTTTTTTTTTCAAAGGGATGGGTGCACTCCAGAGTAGCACAATGTGCATTGCTTGTTAATTATTCTTTTGCTCTGATTTTCCCCTCAAATTCATTGTATTTTCCTATGTCCTTATTCCATTGGATGTGGTTTATCAGGGCCCTTATTTTGAAAAGACTAGGAGTCATTTACAAAGGGTTATAGGAGATGATAACGTTCTTTCTGTTAAGTTTGAAAGAGATGGTAAAAGTTCAGTTGACAGTGGTTCTGATGAGTTCAAAAAAGTTGCAAAAGAAGGAATTCTTGTCGGTTTGCGCCGTTACCGATTTTTTGGTGAGTCTTCTGAATTATTGGAATGATAAATCTACCTTTTGTTGTTCTTATTTGCCCTTTCATGTAATTCATAATTGTTATTCCAGCATGCATAGAGTGTCCGAGCTGGCTTGTCTTGATGGCTTTAATATTTCTGCTAGAATTTTGCAATGTACATGATATGACCCTTTTCTGGAGTAGGGAAATCATTTATCCACCAGTTGAATTGTATTTCTTGTTCTTGTCTATTAATGAGAAGTATTTACATCGTCCGTTCCATTGTAGTTGCTTTACTCAACATTGATTTAGGTGTTTTGTTCAACTTGTCTAAGAGAATTAGCACAAAGGAATTGGTTATTTGCTTTGCTACATTCTTACCTGATAGTTTCGCCATTTTGATGTTGGCTAAATTAAAGTTGCAAAAAAGAAAATGTTTGTGAAATGTGTCCGTTGTTTTCCCAATGTCACTCCCAGTTTCTGTCTTCGTGATAACTAATACGACTTATTATGGATTTCAGTCCCCATACAAATATAGGGCTACTGTTGCGCTATGGTGTCGAGTGTTTGGGGTTATATATGTGCATGTATGGAAGAATTGCTTTTATTTTTCCAGTTTGCAGTTTTGGGGGATATCTTTACTGGCACATGCATGTTTGTTACCTTTATCTGTCAAATATCAGTAATTAAGGATCCTCTGCTCTTTTTATGAGAAAACATAGGATGTGATTTTTTTAATACTCTATTTACTAGGATTTTGGCAGTGCATCGAATACTTACTGTGTAAATTTTCAGTGTTTAAGGATGGAGGCAAAGAAGCAAAAAAGAAAGATCGGACTACCTCATCTGTTAAATGCTTGTTTGTTCGATTCGAGTCTCATGCGTCCGTTGACGATGGTAAAGAATATGTTTTATCTGGGAAAACAGTACAAGAAGCCAGAAGCGTGTTTATGCATGTCCATACCCTACCAAGTATGGCGAAGTATATGGCCAGGTCAGTGATGATACAAGTATCCATGTTCAAATTCTTCTCTCTCTCTCTCTCTCTAAAAGTGGCTTATATTCCGTGGGCTGTAGATTTTCACTAATACTCTCAAAGTCCATGAAACTGGAAGTTGATTTAGCCAATGTAAATTTTATGGAGATAGAAGATATACGATGCGAGGTATGTTATATGGATTTGAATTTTCAATGAAAATCTATTATTTTTTACTTTTTTAGCTTTTTCTCCTATATTTTCTAAGTTCAATTTAGTATTTTAGCACAATAAATTTGTAGGGTAAAGATGGAAGTTACGTACTTGATAAAGATGGAAAACATCGTATTCACACTGATGGGACTGGGTATATATCAGAGGATTTGGCTCTGAAATGCCCGAGAAATGTCTTCAAAGAAAGCATTGCTGGTGGTGCCAATGTTGAGATTGGACCAATTGTTGCATTGATGGTATGTTAACCTGTGAAAGCATTGCATTGCTGTTGCATGAATAATTCATCATTGTGCTGTGCAGGACAGAAATCAGTGTCATATATACAAATCACGAAACAGTTTTTGCACTAAAACTCCATTATATCTGTTTTTCAGTTAAACAATGTTCTAAGATTGTAAATTTCTTCTCAATGAACTTTAGGGGGAGGCTCCAGACATGAAATCGACAGAGTTCCACCATAGGGTACCGGTATGTACATGTAACTACTGGTGCTTTCTTTTTTAATTTTAAAAAATTGAATATGATTCCATTCTTTGTTTTCTTTCTAGCCTTTGCTTCTCCAGATCCGGTTCTTTTACAATGGTTATGCTGTCAAGGGAACTGTACTAGTTAATAAAAAGGTAAAATTGTTAGTTTGAGGAATTATGAAAAAAAAACATGAACTTTCCGTTATAATTAGAACCATGCTCCATTTGAAAAGTCTCTTCTTGACATGAGAAGCAATGGTTAGTTATTTGCAGGAGTATATCTTGAAGTAGACAATACTGGTTAATTTATTGCAGAACAGAATGTTTAAAAATTTTAAGGGGAGTAGAGCTGAGGAAAAACATTGGACATATTAGCCTGGTTCAATTGGTTGTAACAGATATCACATTGGATAATCTAGTTTTGTGTTTCCAAACGAATACCGTTTGAAAACAAAATTGGAAACACTTCAAACGAGAACCATACCCTATTTGAAAACCGATGACACTTGAATTAGAATTATAGTCATCTGGAAAGTCCTTTCTTGAAATGAGAAACAATGTTAGTTATTTCTCTGTGCTTTTAAAAAGCTGCATGCATGTAGTAATTTTAACCCAAAATTTTGTAGCTTCCACCCCAAACCATTCAAGTTCGGAATTCCATGATTAAAGTTAGGCCAGATTCGAATTCATCAAATATTTGCACAAGAAATTCGCTGGAAGTAGTTGCAACCAGGTACTTGCCATTGTTCCACTCATAATTTATGTTTAATATATTTGTATATCATCTGTTTTTTTCCTGTTAAATCATTGAGTAATAAGTACCCAATTAAATATGTTGTGTGTTAAAATAGACTAGTGGAGTTGGGAGGTGCATCAACATTATCCAAACTTAAATGTGTCTTCTAAATGGAAAATAAAAGGTAAATAAGGAAAAGTATTTAACCTCTCATTTATGTTAATTATTTATGCATGTTGTCAAAAATATCTGTTCAATGCATAAAATTACATGTACTAGAATACTCTGAGAGCTGCTGAAGCCTTAATGTTGCAATGTCGTTCTGACAGTAAGTCTAGGTCGAAATATTTACCGAACTCCCATATATTTTGGGATAATTTTTAAGTTATTTAGATAGATAATCTTAGAATAATCAATTGAGATTTTTTAGGAAGACTTTTCATCTCTTAGTAGTTTACTAGGATAAGGGGGCTATTTTTCCCAATTATGTTAGTTTTTTTTCTATTTAAACTCAGTTCTTTACCTAATGACAGAGCAGAACAATTTATTAAATATAGTCTCTTAAATCTTTCTTGCCATCTGAGCTTGGTTAAATCTCCAGTAACACAGTGGTTAAAACAACCTTCACTGGAGATAAGAGATTCAACAACCAAACTGAGGTAGAAAGCTCTGCCATCGGAACAACTACCGAGAGTGTAATGACTCAAGGGACAGAAGTGTCTCACCTCTTTTTTCAGCTGACATCTCACAAGCTGAATGGCAAGAATTACCTCGAATGGTCGCAGTCTGTGAAGTTAGCAATTGATGGGCATGGCAAGCTGGGCCATTTAACTGGAGAAGTCAAGCAACCACAGGTGGGTGATCCAAGGATCCATCATGCAGTGCCCCATCAATTGCTAACTTCTCTACGACCATTTGAGGTAATTCTTGCCGATGTCAGCTGAAAAGAGAGGTGAGACATCTAGCAACATTGGTTTCTTCTTTTAAGCTGTCACCACTTTGAGCCTGGTCTTCGGAGCATTTATTGGAAATGTCAATATGTGTGTGTGGTATTTTTTTAAAGGGGAATGCTTCATTGAAGTTTGAACCATAGCTGCAGAATATGAGCCTTGCCAGCTCTTTCTTCTTTAGTAATTGCAAGCATGATTTAAGAACATGTTCTGAAGTGTGCAAAAGAATGGAGCAATGTGTCTGTGTTCGATCCCAAATCAGGAAGGCGTGCCCATTCCCAGTTGTTGGATCACTCCTGTGCTTGTGTGTCCAACCTGATTTGTGGGTATAAATCCCCTACTCTGTTGCTCAAATCAGTCTTCCAGCTGTAATGAAAATTACCCACACTGTTATAAGCCAATCTGCAATTGAAGATATAACATCTCTTTTGTTTCTGGCAATTGTTTTGATGAAATTGGCTTTGATGAGATGATTTACCCCCAAGAAATACATGCCTTAGAGCAGTTGTTCTTCTTTGATGCACTTGTGAGCGATATATTTTTTTACAGCAATCAACCAAAGAGAACTTCTCTTTCAAGGAATTTGATTATGCTTCTTAGCTATGGAGGTGTCCCAGATGATTTTTTTATGGACATATTGAAGAATGCTTTAGAAGGGTCACAGGGTGCTTTCTCCAACAAAAGAGCAGCTCTTAAAGGTAGTTTTCTTAACTTCTTTGTCCCATAACTTCAGCATTTTCAAAATTTGTCCTCTAGTTTTTTGTTTTGAAGGCTATACTAGCTTAATGTGCATATATTAATAACTCAACTGACATTAAGAACTTTTCATACTGGCGGAGTATTTACAGGAGTACTGCAGAACATGTATGAGCCCCTTTTAATGGAAAAATAAAATTCAATGAGGATTTGGTTCATTCTACATGCACACGTCAAGGGCATCCTGCCTTTTAAGTTATGTGGACTTGTATTTGAGAGCGAAGATATTATACATAAGGTTGTTTCGTCCGGTCATTAATAACTTGATTATTTTTTAATAATAGTAGATAGAAACAACAATCGTAAGGAGTCCTATTGGAACCAAGAAATATAGGCCTGGCTGCCATCCACACCAGAATAAATGGAGTTCACCGAATAAATCTGCTAGTGGAGGAAGACCTCCTAGAGATAAGAGACATAGATCTTAAGAGCCAAAAAAGGAACTTTTGTGTATAATCCTGCATAATCTTGAATGTTATCAGTTCTGGCACGTAGACCAAATAATAGAATTAAAGACCATTCTATGGAAATGTTTCAATTGTTCTATTCTTTGTTGGCTTTGACAATCTTCCAGAATTGCTCTACACATCAGCAATAGTTTTGTCTCGTTGATGCTTCTTTGCTTACCTGCTACCTCTCCCTGGTATAATAAGCTTTTGAATCAATCTTCATAACTCTCACACGCAGTTGCTCTTAACCGAGGTGGCATGGAGGAACTTGTGGCAAAAATGATTTTATCGGGGATTCCCCTTGATGAGTCATATTTACAAAATCTGATGTCCATAATGTTGAATGAAGAAAGAAAGGGTCTCCTAGTAGGAAAGCTCCCTATAACTGACTCTTATTATTTAATGGGCACTGTTGATCCATCAGGAGTCTTAGAAAGTGATGAAGTCAGCATTATCTTGTAAGGCCTTTTCTTTAATTCTTGTAATTTTGTTTGTGATGGAGACATAAAAACATAATAACAATTTCACTGCATTCATAAAGATACCATCATGGAATATGTTTTCTTCAATAACAATCGAAATGATTAGTCCCTTAGAGCATCTCTAAATTTGAAGGAAAGAGTTTGTCTGGTTTGATGCAAAATCTCAGATGCTTTTTCTGTAAGTGATTAAATTTGATTCTTTTATGTTTATGTGCATGTCAACAGAGAGTGATAATTTTGCTATTATTGTTGAATATTTTGGGTCCTCCGATGATATGTGTAGGGATAATGGGCAGATTTCTGGGAAAGTGTTGGTGTACAGACAACCTGGTGTACATTTTGGAGATATACATGTGCTGAATGCTAGATATGTGAAAAAGCTGGATGAATACGTAGGACATGCCAAGTATGCTATTTTTTTTCCTTGTAAAGGCCCGCGGTCTCTGGCGGATGAAATTGCTGGGGGTGATTTTGATGGTGATATGTTCTTCGTATCAAAAAATCCACAGGTTGGTTTCCTCTTGAGTTTTTTTCTTTTCTTTTTTTCTGGTTGACAAGTTCATTTACCTCTATCTACTTTTAGTGCTTCAGCCCTTGTTGCTTGAATTGAATGTCTATCGGTTGACTTTTCACATGTTGTTTTGGCCACTGAATTCTAACATGAAGTTCAACTTACCCTTCAAAAAATGAAGAACCTCGTTTTTAACTAGGTTATAGTTTTGATGATTTATAGTTACAGACCCAACTGCAAATTACATACGGTAAATTTTCGTTATTATTTATTGCTATATTTTAAGGTTTTCTGACTGAGACTAGGTTGTACTATCTTCAGTTATTGGATTATTTCAAAGCCAGTGAGCCCTGGGTAGAAAAATGTTCTACCCCTGAAAGGCCTAGTCCACGACCAAGTGACCTTTCAGATGAGGAGTTGGAGAATGAGCTGTTTGATTCGTTCTTGAGAACTAGGTTCCAACCGAGGTAATAATTTTTCTCTCAGATCAAGTTCCAAGAATTATCTCCATCACTTCATAACGAGTACATTATAAAGAGCTCTCAAACTATTTATCGGTTTTGGTTCTTATGTTATGGTGCGTTTCGCTGCTTCTTTTTTCAGTTATGCTATGAGTGCTGCTGCTGATAACTGGTATGCAATAATGGATCGATTTCTTACAGTACAAGATTCATCTGAGAAAGAACTCATGAAGAAAAACCTGGAATGCCTGATTAATTTATACTATGAAGCTTTGGACGCATCTAAGACCGGAAAGAAGGTTAGTTACTTTTGACAAAGGACAGTGATAGCTGATACTCATAGCAGTAGTAAATGTAATTCTTTAAGTCGATAACCCCATTCGCATCATTCAACGGTGAGCAATGATATATCTGTATTTACTTCTATATGTTTCTTGGACTTGAAAGACTGTTATTCACTTTCAAGTGCTTGCTGCTATCTTAGAGAATTGTATAATGTTCCCCTTGATTTCCGAATAGGTTGAAGTTCAGCAAGAGTTGAGAGTAGTTGTATTTCCTCATTATATGGAACGGGATAACTCGTTCAAGTCGACTTCCATATTGGGGAAGATTTATGACTATGTCAAGTCTTATCAAGAAGAAGTGTCAAAGAAAGGTATATAAAGCGTTTCCGAGTTTTATGTTCCGTGCTATCATGGAATAAGTGAAAGTGAATGGTGTGTTAATCTTAATCCTTTTCAGAAGTTCGAAAGCTCCCTTGCTTCGAAGTTGGAGTCCTCGAGGAGTGCCGTGAAAAATGGACTGCACTTTACGAGGAATACAGGAAAGACATGCAGAATGCTCTAAACTTCCCGGACAAAGACCAAAAAAACGCAGCTGCTAATGCAGTTTATGACAAGTACAAAAAGGTGATTAATGGCTAAATGCTTAAAATTTCACTTCATCAAACAGCATACGATAAACGGTGTCATCAACTTGGAAACACCAAGTACCATAATTAAACCGAATAATTCTGACTGAATATAGACTGTTGATGGCTTAGGAATTATATGGAGCTTTGGAGCTTGCGGAGAGACAAAGGCCAGTGGACGAAATTTGCAATGAGGCCATTGCCATTTATAACATTTGCCATGATTATGCCATGAAAATAGATGATGTAGGCAAATGTGGGTTTGCATGGAAAGTTGCTGGCTCCGCCCTCTTAAATCTGAATGCCTCGCAGCGAGACGAAAACACGCTGTTGTGTGTACCTTCTGTTTTGAGAGAACTCTTTTCTTGAACTAGTAATGTTGTATGTAACAAATAGCATGTTTGTTTGTACAATGATCAACTTGAAAGTAAACTTATTGAGAGGTGTATATGTATCTATATGTTGTGGTCAATGAATTGAGCTTGAATGAACAAGATTGTGTTCTTATTTTTAAAGGTTTTCATATTTAATCTATGTTCGATTAAATATATAATATCATGTTCATGTTTGTTTGTTTATTTTTTAAAGATGCTCATGTTCAATTCATTTATCGTTTACAAACATGTTCATTTAACGTTATAATGTTTTGCAATCAACACTCTTTTATCCTTTTATTTGCTATATAAAGAAAAAGGATGAAATTATGTCACTAGTCCTTAAGGTCTTTAGGCTTTACAGTTTGAACTCTAAAATTCACATTGTATTCAGTTTAGTCCTTACCTTTACCCGTATCTAAAATATAAAAAATAAACGCAAAAAGAGAATAAACAAGTTTATAAATGAGTCGATAAATGAGTTTATAAACATGCAAATAAACTTGTTTGTTCATGAAAATAAATGAACCGATCACATCTCTATTCGTGTTCGTTCGTTTATTAAATGAACATAAGAAATTTATTCATACTTGTTTATTCGATTTAACAAACATTATACGAATTGTTGGCAAACATTTCATTAAACACTATTCATTTACACTACTACATGTACGCATTGCCTCAAACCCCCATTTCACTGCTCTTCTTGTACCATCTCTTTTGACAATCATCATAACTAATATTTTTTGAAAAACGGGTATCCCAGAGAAGAATGATGAGTTAGAGAAAACTGGGTTTTTGAGCAAATGTAATATAGGCATAAGTTTACGATATGCTGATTGGATTTTCTGATGTTGAGATAGTATCCAAAAGGTAGATGATGTCGACATAAGAGAGCTCGATGTTCAATGGTACAGGAGACATATGGCACTTGTCAGCCAAGAGCCAGTGTTGTATTCAGGCAGCATTCGGGACAATATCGTGTTTGGAAAGCTTGATGCATCGGAGAATTAAGTTATGGATGCTTCTAGAGCTGTAAATGCTCTCGAATTTATCTCGTAAGTCAGTTTACTTTTTCATTTAGCCATTGCATTAATGTTTTCACAACCTTGAAAATGTGATGATAATTTGTGTAGGGCACTGAGGGAAGGATTTGAAACAGAATGTGGATAGAGAGGAGTTCAGTTGTCAGGAGGCCAGAAATAGAGAATAGCCATTTCCATTTACCAGAGCTATAGTTCGAAACCCGAAAATCCTTTTACTAGACGACGCAACTAGCGCTCTTGATGCTCAATCCGAAATATTTCAAGCACTGGATCGAATAATGGTAGAAAGGACCACAATTGTGTTAGCTCATCGGCTAAACACAATTAAAAATGTCGACTTGATCGCTTTCATCGCCGATGGGAAAGTGGTGGAGCAAGGTACCTATGCCCTGCTCATGAACCAAAAAGGACCATTCTCCAAACCTGCTATCCTTCAAACCTAATACTATTTTTTAAACTCATCATGTCTCTCCTTGTTAGAACAACAAATGTAACGAAAGAAATAAATGAACAGTCTTAACTAGTGAATTTATCAAAATTTGGTTCTTTAATTGAGATACATCTTTCTGCATAAAACCGATAAATGTCTCGAGAAAGAACATCATCTTCGGCCCATTCAATCTAGAGAAAGCCTTACAAATGGTGATAAAACTTCAGTAACGAGTATTAAAAGATGACTATATAGATACTAAGCTCAATGCATCGGAAATGGAATAATCATTGATGCATATCAGTTGGCTTGTCATTGATTGGAGAATCAATACCATGGCTGCTTCCAGTTAGGTGGTGAAGAAGCACACCTGCTGCGACACTGACATTCAAGCTCTCGACTGCCAGAAAGGACCGGAACTCCTCGCCGGCTGCTATGCCTGTAGTTTCCGTATCATCAACCTCTCCGGCTGCTATGTCTGTAGGAATATTTCCCGGGATCCTAACTAACTGAGTGCATGATCTCTCCACTAAAGGCCTTAAGCCAGTCCCTTCACTGCCTAAAACAAGAATGGTCGGCACACCTGGCAAAACCTCATTCAAGGGAACAGCTTTCGAAGAAACAGAACCCCCGAGAACCCGCCAACCGTTGTCGGCCGAGGAAATTAAGAATTGCATCATATTCTTGCAATATCTAAGCTCCATTAATTCGAGTGAGCCGGCACTTGCCTTGCTTACGACACCACTTAACGGGGCCGAATTTTTAGCACATAGCACAACCCCTGAGGCTCCAAAGAAATAAGCTGACCTAATTATTGCACCCAAATTCTGAGGATCGGTAACCTCATCTAGAGCTACCCAAAGAGAACCTTTCTCTTCATCAGATAAAAGGTCTAATTCCTTTATCTTCACCATCTCAAGGGGAGAAGCATCAAGCACCAAACCTTGATGGGGGCGATTATCAACAACCATATTCAGATCATGCTTTGAAAAATCCTTTACATTTAAGCCAAGTTTTTGGGCCATCTCAAACACTTTCTTGAATCCTTTCTTATCCTTCTTTTTCCGATTATTACTACTCAAATCTAATCCTTCTTGGACATACAAAGCGTAGAATTCCCTTCTTCCAGCAGACAATGCAGCCAAAACAGGACCTACACCATAAACCCCTTCACCAACCATCTTAGGTAAAGTTGATTCAGTAGCCTCTTTCCATGTTTTTCTGCCCCAATTTTCCTGCTTATTCCATCTTCGAAACTCCGGTTTCTCAGACCCAAATTTAGTGTCTACCATTCCTCTAAACCTTCCCTTAATCTTATCCCATCTTGGATCATTGACAACCTCATCTTCTTCTGTCATCGCTTCTTTTTCTTCATCAGTTTCATCCTTTCTACCTCGCCTGCCATCAGGTCCATTACGATGATCCCTTATCATATCTACTTTTCTATATCTACTCTCTTTAGTATCCATTGAGAGAGCACCTTTCTTTCTCAAAAAAGATTCATCCGCTTCCTCCAAAGACGAGCTGTGATTCTCTTTCAATCTATCCAATGATTCCTCCCAAGAAGAACGACTACCCGTCTTCGCAACCGACACTTTATGTGATTTTTTCACTCCATTCACTCTCCCAGAATCTAACCAAGGTAATGATTTTCCTGCTCCAGTAAAAACCCTATCTTCACCAACTCTTTCCGAATTCAAACTCGATAAACCTCTAGCTCTTACCAAAGCACAACATTCCACAGCAGTTCTAATCCTAAACCCACTTTTTTCCACACTGCTAGCTCTATGAGTGCTATACATCAATGGAGGGTTTAAGCAGGGTTTTGGACAACAACTGGGTAAAGTTTGGGAAGAAAATCTGATAGCTATAGGAAAAGCTTGGATCCTTGTCAAGTTGCAGTACATTGTGTGCGATTATAGATAGAACCAGAACTCAGTTTACATAAAAAGAGATGAAACTGGAAATTGAAAGAGCAGTTCAATGGAAGAACAGTCTACCTGGGTTTAAAGCAGAGGCTTTTAACAAGTAAAATAAAGCTATAACCTTATCCACTCTCCTTCAATGGTTACACAAGCTCTGGTTCACTCTCTCTCACTCTCAGAGCAAACGATGTTTTTAGGTTTATTAAGACTGCTGAATCGTAAAACGACACTGCCGTTGCGGTACCTCAAACGTTTTGAAGTGTTTTTGGGCTTACGGGTACCACAGTAATATTTTAGAAAAATTATTAAGATTTAGATGTTAATATTAATCAAAATATTTAATTTTTTTAATTCAAGAGTTTAATTTTTTATTTGAGGATTCAATTGAGTGTAAAAAAAATTTATAAATTTTATTAATTCTTTTTAAAATTGGGGGGTTTCATGTACTTTTGAGTCTTTATTTTATTACTTGTTTATTTGTTTAATAAATTGAAATTCATATGATAATATATTAGTTTGAATATATATTACCAATTAAACTTTAATTTATAAATAAACTTTTAAATATTAAAGGTTTAAGGGATACTTTTATCTTTTTAATAATAGTATTAAATTATGGTTTCAGGGCTACTTTTATTATGTAGTTGATTAAATTTTTCATTTTTGCTCCTATAATATTTTCGTATCAATATAACTCTTGAAGCTGTTTAGAGGTATCATCCTAGTTTTCGATGCCAGTTTTGACTAACAGAACCGTTAGTTTTTTGTGTATGTGGATGTCAACAATTTACACTTCAACCAATATTGCAGATATAACTTAATGATAAGGTGATATTTATTAAAAATAAATAATAAAATATTTAAAATATTTACTAAACACAACGATTAGAAAAAATCCCCAAAATTTTAACTTAATCCTCTAATCTCACTGAAATAAAAATAAATTTTTGAGATTTTTTTAAATTGTTGCATCTAATATATATTAAATCTCTTAATTCACATACATAAAAGACTCACGTTACGTTTTATTAGTCAAAACGGTCAACAGAATTCGTGGGCTAAGATGATGCCCTTAAACAAATTCTCAAGGCTAAGTTGATATGAAAATATATAAGGGAGACATAATAAATTAGGACTGCTACTGGAGCAAAAGTAGCCCTTAAGCCTTAAATTATTAATATTATTTTTCAATTTTTATTATATTAATTTAACATCTTACTTATTCTAATTATATAACGTGGTCTTTTAACCAACGAAATATTGTTTATCATTATAATATCAATATGATTATTAATGGTACTAATGTGACAACAATGAAAAAACAACATCTTTAGTGTTCATTACTAATTTATAATAATAATGATAATTGTTGAAGGTTGAATGGTGAAATATAATGACGAATATGATAATAATGAAAATGAATTAGAAAAGAGATTTAATTGATGCAATATTTGAATGTTGAAGGATAATTTCTAGAATTAATATCAAATTATAATACTAGATTCATTGATTAATTAATTTGAATTTATATTACATAGACTTATTATGGAATTCAATTTCCTATATTCATAACGTCAAGCCGTAAAGTTCGAATTTCCAACTTCATTTAAGAGACTTAACACCTCATCCTATTAACCTAAATGATAATTAATAATGAGTAATTTTTTTGACTTAGTGTTTATATGTCTCCACCTTCTCATTTCTTTACTATGATTATGAATTTATGATAAAATTTTAAGATAAGGATGATCTTGACAAAACAGTTTAGGAATTAATTAAATTCTTTTATTTAACCAAATAAATATAAATGTGTCAATGGAAGAAGCAGAGGCAAATTCCATGGGAACCCAAAGCATAAAAATAAAAGTGCATTTAATTAGGAAGACAAGTGGACTACATGCCCTGCTCGGCGAGATAATCACCCAACCTCTCGACGGCCATGTTGCATTGTCCCGGAGTCACCGGCTCTTCGTATATGCCAAGCACAAGAGCTTGTCCTGTTTTCTTAATTGTTATCCCTCCTGGTCCCTTCACACATCCAAATATACACAATTGCAACCATGTTCATGATTTGGACTAAATGTAACGTTAATAACAATATGGGGGCTAAATGTAACATTAATAATGTTGATAAAAAACAATTGCGTTAGTTTTGACAGTTCATTTGTTTTGATTTGGACAGAAAATTGTTGTCAGTGGTATAATTAGATTGAAGAAAATGAATACTATCAAAAAAAGGTCAAAAAGAGTTTTTTTTCCTTCAACTTGTATGTTGATTTATATATTGATTATTGATGTTGATGTTAGGTTTAGGATGATGATGTCTATCTATAGGTTGGTTGATAGAATTAAATAAATATGATTGTCAGATAATAGATTTATTCTGTCGGATTAAAAAAATTTATTAGTAATCTTGTCAAGAAACTATCTCTATTCGAAGGATACGGAGTTTAGGATATTTTAGGAATTTTAGAGGTTTGGTTAAGTTATGAGATCCGGTGAAGTTGCAATAAATGTGTTAGTTCGTTTTAAAGCATATCACCTTTTTACCACGAATGACAGCACCGGGCTCACCCTGGATCACCATATACTTTGAGCCACCAAGGTGTAATCCCGTAGGAGCAAGGTGGCCTGGTTCATCCAAATCTTTCATTATGTCCGACACCTCATTAGCCTTCAACTGCAAAAAACATAGCAAAGGAATCGATAAAGAAAATTCAGATCAAATATGGGGAAAACAACAGTACCTCAGGGAAGTTAGAACTCTTAGCCCAGACACTGCCATCATGGCCAACGATGGCGGCGGCAGAAAGGTGTTGGCCTTGTTGCCCCTCGATTTCACACATCAAGTGCTGATCTACGTAGCTTTGCCACGACATTTTTTTTATTTTTCGTATTTGTTGCCGGTTTACCAAGAAATGATGGGGGAGATTTGGAGCTTGATAAAGGCGAAAAGGGGAAGATAAATAAGGAAAGCGATGAATAAGGCAAGGGAAGTGATTTATCTTAAGCCGTATGTTTTGCAACTTTTCATTGCTGCCATGCACGTCCTCCTTTATTTTAGTAACCCTCCTTTGCATGCTTATTTTCAGTATAATTCGGGTTTTGATCCCTCTAGTACAGTGCTGAAATTTAAGATTTAATCCATATACTTTCATGTTCATGGTTGCCACTCCATATAATCTGTAAGATTCAATTTCTCTTCTTGGGAGTACAATATATGTTCTTTTAACTCTTCTGTCAAGTATTTAATATTTCTAAATCACAAACTCGAGACATTAATTAATTAAGTTGGAATAAGCACGTGCCAATTGATCCAACAATTTGGTATATATCAAGTGTATGATAGGTCGGGATGAAGATGATGAAGCGCCAGATATGCCACGTCAACAGTCTCATATGATACGTGGAGTTGGAAAAAGGAATGAAAGAAGACGAAATTTCTGCCACCTCAAGTCCAGCTCAGCATATCCTCCCAACTGTCATGGTCCCACATTTAGTACTCAAATATATATTTTATATTATCTTTGATATTATTTTTATTTTTTTAACATGACAATATTATCTTTGATTTTAGAATGTAAAGATTGTGACTATTTTAGATATTTACTTGTTATGTAACATTAAATTACAATTATATTAACTAATTAGTATAATAATTTTTGTAATTAGATTTCTCAATAATTTGCCCATTAAAACCAACCATTAAGAATATTGTATTATTCTCTTATATTAATATGTATTTGCCCATTAAATTTTCTTAAACTTTGTATTGTATTTTTAAGATTAAATTTGATTTTTTTTAGTTAATGATTATTTGATTATCTAGTTAATATATATTGATTTTAATCTTTTAATTATTGTTCTTGTATTAATACATATTTACGATCACTCCAGATAGATAGCATTTAAATTATTATACAATTAGTTGTTAATATATTGCTATCTTTATATTTATTTTTATGTCAGTATTAATGGTGATTATAGTAATATGAGTTCATATTTTTCAAAAATATTGTTTAACTAATTTTGTTTATAATCATATTTTCTACATTTAGTGATTTTTTATAAAATAATATCTTAATCCATCATAATTTACAAGTTAAAAATTTAAAAAAAGTATTAAACATTAAAAATAATTTAAAGATTAATTTAACATTAAAAAATCGATAATTACCTAATTAAGCTTCTTTCCTTTTGTGTATTGCCATATTAAGCTTTTTTAGGCTGTAGCTTATTTTTCTGTAGATTTCATAGCCAATAACAGCTAATATAAACACCAAGAAACACTGGGAATTCTTTACTAACAATGGATTCACTGCCTCCATTGGAACCAGCTTCAAGAATTCAATAGTTTTTCAAGTCAACCACCTTCATTTCGAGTTCCCATCGAGAAAAACCAGATTAATACGATGGATCCATGCCCATTCGTTCATTTGATCGTCGAATCATTAGCTTTGAAACTCCCGCATCAGATAAAACATCCCGGCGCCGGCGTTTATCCGACGAAGGCACCGTGTTTCTGCAAGGTGAGAATCGGGAGCTTTCAGTCTCAAACTGCTTTGTTGCCTCTCAGCAAAGGCGCCGGTGATTCTACACTCGAATCATCCACCTCCCCCACAGGTTTTCACCTCGACGCGCTGACACTATGCTGTATCTCCGGCCAGCCCGTGACGCTGTGCGTGGAAGTCTACACTGGACGCATGGGTCGAACCTGCGGTGTCAGCAGTGGGAAGCTGGTGGGTTCGGTTCAGTTTAGTATCGACTTGGGGGTGTCGCAAGCCAGACCGGCGGTGTTCCAAGATGGGTGGATGAAACTCGGCCACCGTCCGGAAAAACCCACCGCTAAGCTTCACTTAACGGTCAGAGCCGAACCCGATCCCCGGTTCGTTTTCCAGTTTGGTGGAGAACCAGAATGTAGCCCAGTCGAGTTTCAAATCCAAGGCAACATAAGACAATCGGTTTTCAGTTGCAAGTTTAGCGCCGACCGTTCAAGATCCCGGTAAGTGACTAAGTTCCTCCGTTTCCTTTTGCAATATCAGCGTGATGCATTTTAGTGACTTCTCATGGAAATTTAGATAAAATTGTTATTTTAGTCCTTCCACTATGCAAATTTAGAATCTAGTCCATGTACTTTAATTGGCATAATTTGATATTTTCCTTTCATAATATAATTTGTCAGTCTAATTAGTTAACACCGAAAATTATTTCGATAAAATTGTTGATTTCAGTTTTTCTCTTAAAAACATCCATTCTAACTCATCATGCTAATATATATTTTTGTGTCAGAATGAGTGTTTTTTAGAGAAATATTTGATGTGAAACTATAAAGATTAAATCCTGAAGTTAAATATAGTAGAGGGATTACAATCAAAATTTGTCCATTTCATACTAATGGTTATTGATGAAATTAGTTAATCTCTTGTAGCCATTGACCGAAACAATCACGGATTCTCTTCCATGTGCTCAAAATCATAGTGGAGGGGACAAAACCATAAATTGACCCCTTTTTAACCATTCATTTTTATAATGTATTAATATATAGTTTTGTTCGATTAATTGATCGGATATAAGCGGTTAAACCAAAAATATATATATTATTACTTTTGTTTATCTAATTGTCAATGGTGAAATCAGATCTCTCCCACTAGATTTTTCCAACAAGAACATAGGATGTATGAGAACATTATCCGGATAAAAGGAAAAGCAAGGCGGGGAAAGGAAAGAATGGATGGTAATGATATACGATCTATCAGATTCTCCTGTTGCGGCTGCCTCAGTGATCACTCCATTCGTACCCTCCCCTGGGACCGATCGAGTTTCGAGGTCGAATCCCGGCTCATGGCTAATACTCCGCCCTCATGGCTTCTCCGTCAGTAGTTAGAAACCATGGGATCATCTCGAGGCATGGCGAGAAAGGGGTCTCATTGACAGCTTAGGCTATATATTCGAGCTCGTCACCGAGGATGGACCAAGCAATGACATCCCTATTGCCGAAGCCACAATAAGTGTGAAAATGGGTGTCTTGTTTTGTATAGATAGGAAAGTTTCGAAACCAAATTCTTCGACGCTGAGGACGTTAATGCCACCAGTTAATAGATTTGTTATGGGTTCGACGGTCGAAGGTGAAGGCAAAGTTAGTAAGCCTATGGTACAAGTTGGGATACAACATGTTACGTGCATGGCCGATGTCGTATTGTTTATTGCCCTCTCGGCCGCCATCGATCTTAGCATGGACGCTTGTCTGTTTTTCTCGAGAAAACTAAGGAGCTTTGCCACGATGAACAAGATTCATCTTCTCAATCAAAATAAAGCCTGCAAAATTTCAATGATAATTTCACCTTTTTACTGCAGTGACAATCAGTGATAATTTTCAATGTTAAACTTTGCTTGTAAACATCACAAAATGCACTACTTTTTTCATTTCATAGAAACCTATATTTATCCTTTTACAAATGAATTGCTAGAAAATCTAGTTGGTTACGCCAGCTCACCTATGCTGTTACACCATTTTAACAAACCAACTGATATTTGTTTTTATTAGCTAACAGAGCAGAAAGTCGACGATTTTCTAATTCATTTAAATATTACCATTCAAATCAATTTTTGATTAATTGATTTTTATTGTTTAACCCTACTCAAAAGCAGCTTGTGTTTTAATATTTGAACTTTGCATGCACGTGTAAAACAGTGTTATTTTGCTCCTGCGGCTAATTTGATTGATAAAGACTATAAATATATATATGTATATATACATACTAGAATCATTTCGGTTTCCTATCACATTATATTAATTATTTAGATCATTTGAAGTTATAATTAATTTAAATTGAAACCATATTTTTAAACTTTAATGATCAAATCAATATAAAATTAAATTTGAACTGAACAATCAAACTTTTAAATTCGAGTTAGAATTAATAATTCTAAAATTACATATAAATGCTCGAAAAAACTAGATGTTGGGCTGAAAGCTGATCATGAGAGACGATGTTATTAACAATAACATGGGTATTGGCCCAAAATGTCTAGTCCACAATTTAATTTCCAAAGCATATATTTACGTGAAAAATCTTTAAAAAGAAAGTAAAACACTGACAGGGGAATAAAATTTCATTATAATCGATAATAAATTACAAGAGTATTATATGAGAGTGCCTCGAGAGTATATAAACTCCTAAAATCCTAGATACATATATATAGTTGTATGAATATAATAAACCTAGTTGAATTGATCCAATAACCTCCACATCAACCATTGATTCCTTTTTCCTTTTTTCTATTTACATTTTCACCAACTGAATCACAACATAAACTTTTTTTAGTTAGCATCCGTTCAAAATCTTTATTAATAATTGATAAATGCGTACGAACCCTGCAAACTCAACTGTTCGAACCCCTGACTTTAAGAAAAAACAATATTCCCTCTAACCATTGAAGTCTCCAACATAAACTTTTTAATTAAAGCAAATGAAATTGGAATCAGAAATTGTGAGAGGATCAGCACGGCACTTGACATATGATAATGAAAAGGATAAAAGGGTTACATTTGTGTTTTAGACAATTGGTTCCACAAAAGGCAATCATTCCCTTCAGTCTTTCAGCTTTAAAATAAAGAGCTTCTCTATACCTACTTTGTTGCCTTCAAAATCTTTAGAAAGAAGGCAACTTTAAAAGATTCATAGGCAAGCGCAAGCAAGGAATTATATACTTCACATGCTTTGCTTTAGTGCTTAAGCAATACGTGGAGCCGCCCATTATATTGCCTTCCTCAAAGATATTTCTTATAAACAAATCTTATCGCAAACTAGGGACCAAATTAAGATTCGATTAATAATACTCCCATAATTTATAAATTAAAAACCAATTTAGAATATATTTGTAATTTTAAATTTAAATATTTTAAAAGTTTTAAATATTC